AAGGAAATCACAACATACATATCATCAAAATATCTAACACATATAAAATTCACATGATTACTTGCAACAAGATTTCTCCCGCGACCTCAAGAACAAAAGTAACTACTCACAAATGATAATCGTGCTCAAGACCAGAGAGGTATTAAATAGCATAATGGATCTAAACATATAATCTTCTACCAAATAAACCATATAGCAATTAACTACAAGAAGTAATCAACACTACTAGACACCCACAAGCACCAATCTATAGTTCTGGTGCAAAGATTGAACACAAGAGACGAACTAGGGTTTGAGAGGAGATGGTGTTGTTGAAGATGTTGATAGATATTTCCCTCCCCAAGATGGGAGAGTTGTTGGTGATGATGATGACGATGATTTCCCCCTCGGGAGGGAAGTTTCCCCGGAGGAATAGCTCCACCGGAGGGCAAAAGTGCTCCTGCCCAAATTCTGCCTCGAGACGGCGGCGCTTCTTCCCGAAAGTCCTCCCCTTATTTTTTTTCTAGGTCAAAATGACTTAAATACAAGAAGAGGGGCACCGGAGGTGGGCTCGGCTGAGGACAACCCACAAGGGCGCATCTGGGGGCCCTGGCGCGCCCTGGTGTCTTGTGCTCACTAGGTGCCCCCCCTTCGGTAGTTATTTTCTCCATTATTTCTTATTTATTCCATAAAAATTCCCCGTGAAGTTTCAGCTCATTTGGAGTTGTGCAGAATAGGTGGCCTGACGTAGCTTTTTCAGGTTCAGATTTCTAGCTGCCGGAATTCTCCCTCTTTGTGTGAACCTTGCAAATTATGAGAGAAATGGCATGAGAATTACTTCAAAAAGCATTATTATGCATAAAAACAAGATAAATAACATTAGGTAAACATGATGCAAAATGGACGTATCAACTCCCCCAAGCTTAGACCTCGCTTGTCCTCAAGCGAAAACCGAAATCAAAAAACATGTCCACATGCTTAGAGAGAGAGGTGTCGATAAAAACAAAATACGGACATAGAAGCATCATGTAACTTATTATAACAGCAACAAACTTTAACATGAAACTTTTATCATAGACTTCTCATGAATAAGTAACAATTCATCACAACATCAAAGTATAAAGCATAAACTCTATTGAAAACTAGCAAACTATGTTCTCAGTCAACTTTGCAACTACAATTCATCATCTTTTCGGGAAGGGTAACATATCAGAGCCTTTTTGGCAAGTCCACATACTCAATCATCATATAGTCTTCTATGATTGCTAACACTCACCACATACACATGAGCAAAACATTGTAGCTGAGCCTGCAAGTTTCATAAGGATATTAAATTCTGCATCTTGACCCTCTTCTTACATCTGCTGCGCCGCTTGAATATGAACGACCTCTGGCTCATGAATTGATAGGGCTTGCATAGTGATCCCAATCCCAGGATCCGGTTGTTCCACCCTAGTATGGATCAGGGAGACTCGATTAATTTCATCTCCCCCCAAATGTACCTCCTCCATATCCGTTTGCCTTTCCATCTCAAGAATGAACTAGCGGATGGGAAAAAACTCGAGGGAAGCAGAAAAAGGAAACCAAAGAAGAAAAGATCATCAGAGTGAAAGGATGAGGCAAAGAAGAAATGCGGAGAATCAAAGAGAGGAAGCTAGAAGAGGGAAGAAGCGGCGGGCAGAGAAAGAGAGGAGCACAGGTAGGGATAAAGCGGCATAACGCCAGTCTGGAAAAGTCTAAAGCGGTGCGACTCTGCACTTGTTTTTGCATTAGGATTAGCACAACAAATGGAAAGACCACTCTAGAACATATGAGTGTGGTGTTTCACACCCATAGTAGGGCTCCCTCAATGAGTAGTTTAAAAAGCATCTGATTTCTTTTATTCACTGGTCATTGTTGATATGCTAAATGCGTAAAAGAGATGATTTGTGCATTCTCGGGGTGGCGTCATTAGTGATTAGGCAACAATTAGTGAGTACCTTAATTCAAACTCAATAAGTTCGTTATAAAAAATGACAAATCTTGAGTCAAAATGGACTCATGAAGCTTGAAGCTCCAGTATAACTAGAACTCTCTATCTCCAATGATTTCATCTCTTAACATGGAACTCAAGAATACGACGAGTCTTGTTCCCACGGAGTGTAGGATAGGAGAAGAAATGGGAAAAAAATCCACCCTAGCATGGAGGAGTTGGGTCCCTTATATGGTTGGCAACTACTCCTCCATTCGAAAAATAAGTGTTGTGGTTTTAGTTCTAGTAGTGAGGCTAGAAGCGCCGAGATTCAAACCAATGGTAGAATCTCCAAACGCTTCACAATGGAAAAGCTTGCTCGATGTTGGGAGAAACCGGCCCCCTTCAACATCTCTCAAATGTGTTCTACGAACGTAGGTTCGCAAGAGA